ACTGGGCTGGGAGGAAGCCAGGAGCTGGGAATTCAGTCCGGTTCTCCCACGGGAGTGGGCTGGGAGGCATCTGCTTGAGCCATCATCTACCTCCCGGGGTGTGCCTTGGCAGGAGCTGGAATCAGGAGCTGAGCTAGGACTTGAACCCAGGCCCTGCGATACAGGACAGCCGAGTTGCAAGTGCTGTCTTAACCACTGCATTAGATGCCTGTCCTTCCCAGCTGCCTTTTTTTTTTTTTTTAATATTTATTTGATAGGCAGAGTTACCAGGAGGGTTGGGGGAGGAGAGATGGACACTGTTTCTCTGCCCAAATGGCTGCAATGGCGAGAGATGGGCTGGTCTGAAGCCAGGAGTCAGGAGCTTCTTCTGAGTCTCCCATCTGGGTACAGGGGCCCAAGCACTTGGGCCATCCTTTGCGCCTTTCCCAGGCCATCAGTAGGGAGCCAGATCAGAAGTGGAGCAGCTGCGACTCAAACCACCTGTATGGACTGCCACCCAAAAATGTCTTCTACAGATTTTTAATAAATGTTTTCTAATCTGGGATGCAATCAAGGTTTATACATTATAATATTGGGTTTGGTTCGGTGTCATTTTTTTTTTTTTTATTTGACAGGTAGATCTACAGACAGTGAGAGAGAGAGAGAAAGGTCTTCCTTCCATTGGTTCACCCCCCAAATGGCTGCTATGGCTGGTGCTGCGCTGATCCGAAGCCAGGAGCCAGGTGTTCCTTCCTGGTCTCCCATGGGGTGCAGGGCCCAAGCACTTGGGCCAACCTCCACTGCCCTCCCGGGCCACAGCAGAGAGCTGGACTGGAAGAGGAGCAACCGGGACAGAATCCGGCGCCCTCATGGGAGGCTGGTGTCGCAGGTTGAGGATTAGCCAAGTGAGCCACGGCGCCAGCCCCGGTTTGGTGTCTTTTATCCTAGGTAGTCTTCCTGCCATTTTCAAGAAAAATGGGTCGGATTTATTTGGAGAGTGAGGGCCCATGGTATTGTAGAAGGGCCCACATGCTGGGTTTTGGGTTCCTCCCCTTTAAGCACTTGTGCGATGGCTGGCGGCTTTACCCACTATGCCACAGTGCCGGCCCTCCCAGGTGACTTTTAAATGGGTTCCTTTATAGAGATAACTAGCATTTAGGGATATGAGTATGCCAGCGAATGTACCAAGCACTTCTTTGTTTTCAAGTTGTTTTTATTTGATTTGAAAGAGCAGCAGAGACCAAGATAGACACAGAGACAGAGATCTTGCATCGTGGGTTCATTCCCCAGATGCTGGGAGACCACATCCGAGTCTGTGTCTCCCTTGTGGATGGCAGAGAGCCTCCAACTTGAGCCATCACTGTTACCTCCCAGGGTGTACACTAGCAGTAGGTGGGAACCTGGAGCAGAGCTGGGACCCACACGCCCACATTGTGATACTGGGGCCGGCGTCCCACGTGGAGCCTAGCTGCTCTGCCGAGTGCCCGCCCGCTGGTGCTTTCTTTTATTTTATTTGAGAGGCAGAGTTACACAGAGAGAGAGATAAAGCTCTCACATGCACTGGTTCGCTCCTCAAATTGCCGCAATAGTCAGAGCTGGGCCACTGCAAAGCCAGGAGCTTCTCTCTGGCCTCCCACGTGGGTGCACTTGGACCATCTTCCGCTTCTTTCCCTGGCCATAAGCAGAGAGCTGGATTGGAAGAGGAGCAGCCTGGATACGAACCGGTGCCCATGTGGGATGCTGGTGCCGCAGGCAGGCGGCCGCTTAGCCTACCTCGCCGCAGCACCGGCCCTCCTCGGGCTTTTTCAGTTACTTCATCTGCTGCTCACAGCAGCTCCAGGGAGTGTTGTTCCTGTTTTACAGAGGAGGCACGGGCAGCGGAGGGGCTGACGGCTGACGTGGTGGCTGGCCGTGGAGGCTGATAATGGAAGCTGAGGTGCAGAGAGCCAAGTGGGGCTGGAGCTGAGCCGGGCCTCGCCCCACGTGGCAGAGGGGCGCGTCAGCAGAGGCCTGTGTGTCACCAGTGCCCTGCAGTTTTGTGGCGTGTTGGCGCCAGCTGTTTTTCCTCCTAGGTGGTACCCAGCCACTGTGTGAGTGACAGGCAAGCCCCGCCTTTGCAGGCACAAATGGCCCCTGATCAGATAAGGAGGCGCCCCCACCCTGCTCCTGAGCCAGAGGAAGTGTCTGTGGAGGCCTCTCCCCCTCCCACCGCCCAGCCCAGAGGCCTTTGTTTTTCCTCCCAGGATGTCCCTGTTAATTGCACCAGGACCCTCCCCCACCCCCCATCAGGCGGAGACCTGCAGAGGCCTCCAGCCTGCAGAAGCCTCGCCTGGACTTGTGGGCCAGAGTCTGTCCTCCCCACGCCTGTCCCCAGGTGTGTTACCTGGTGGAGGCTCACGAGCAGGGGGGCTGGCTGGCCTGTGTTTTGGGGAACATGTCCCATGTGGCTGCAGGCTGCCAGTTCACTCGTCCTGCCTATGTAATACGCAGATTGGGTCAAGAGAAGAGGTTTCGTTGTTTTATTTACGAAAGTGTTCTGTGACCATGGTAGAAAAGTTAGAGAATGGCACACTGGAAGGATTAGAACTCAGAACTCTGCCTACAGAGGAGAGCCTACTCCCCGTCATGTCCTTGGGGTGAGGACCCACACGGTTCACGTCTGGGCCCGTGTCCGGGTGGCTGCTGCGGACGGCTACATGGGCAGTCTCGTGGCTCTGGCCCTTCTGCTGGCCAACTGCGTAGGCCTTGGGCAGCTTCACCTCTTCGCACCTCGGTTTCCCAGCAGTGAAGTGGGCAGCGCGTGGTGCCTGCCTTGCTGTGGTCCCGAGTGTTCGGGCAGAGGTCACTGTGAAGCCTTTTGCCCGGTGGTGCCGTGAGGGTGCCTGATAGACGAGAGTGGCTGCTCCTGGCCACGGAAGCCATGCAGACGCGTGCTGTGGGCGGTCAGCTGCGGGCCACACCGGCATGTCTCGCCTTGTCTGCTGCCCTGTGTGCTTCTCCCGTGAATGGCCTGGGCTCTTTCAGTCAGGCATCCGGCATCCGCACACATCGTGGCCTGAGCAAGCCTGCGAGGAGACTGCCATGCTGGAGGTCGTCCTGGCCCCCGGGCTGAGCACCTGCCTGCCCTCTGCATTCCCCGCCGCCCCTCCTTCCTTCTGGGAGGCTGGCATGTGCAGACATCAGTCTGGTCCCACTCAGAATCCAAATTGATCTCCAGTAATTGGCTGCAGGAGTACACTGGCTTCCTAATTGTTTATGATAAAGCTTTTTAAAAAATTGTTATTTTTAATTTGAAAGGCAGAGCTGGAGAGAGTGAGATCGATGTTCCTTGCTGGTTTCTTCTCCACATGCCCACACAGCCAGGGCTGGCTCAGGCGGAAGCCCGGAGCCTGGAACTCAGTCCAGTCTCCCCTATGGGTAGTGGGGACCCAGGTGTTTACGCCGTCACTTGCCGCCTCCTAGGGTGGGCATTAGTGGGAAGCGGAGCTGGGACTCAGACCCAGGCCCTGTGACTCAGGATGCAGCTGCCCCAGGGGGCGTCTTGACTGCTGTGCCCCAATACCTGCCCCGGTTACGCTTTTCAGCGTACGGAAAACACGAATGTCCCTTGATGTTGTCACCTGTACCTTCTTTGTGGCTGTGGTTTACAACACTGGGTGGCCATTAGGAAGAAGCTGTCTGGTTCCGGGGAGAGGACCTGGTGACCGACACGAGAGCAGAGCGGGCTGGCCGCACTGTGCCCCCGTGCACTGTTTCTTTGTCTCTCCCCGAGGTGCTGGCCGGGGTCTGTTCTGTGTTCTCAGTCGCTGTCCCTCTGGGTGACCGAGTCACGTGCGGTGGAACGCTCTCTGCCTCTCTGCCATGTCTGGGTGCCGTGGGCGTGCAGGGGTGTCTCCTGAGCCGCTCCCGGCTGGGAATGCGGGTGCCGTGGGCGCGCAGGGGTGTCTCCTGAGCCGCTCCCGGTAGGGGATGCGGGTGCCGTGGGCGCGCAGGGGTGTCTCCTGAGCCGCTCCCGGCAGGGAACGCGGGGTCTTCACGCTTGGCTCGCAGCAGCTTCCCCTCCTGCTCGGGCTTCCACGCTGGTCCCCGCTGAGGACCGCTTCCTTAGAGAGGTGTGGCACCCGTGGAGCGGCTGGAGGAGAGGGAGTCCTCTGCACAGCATCACAGCTTCTGCAGCTTGCCAGGTGGATGATGTCTAGAGGGGGTCTGGGGAGGGGCCCGGGGTTTGACGAAGTCTGTTTCAGATGGGTGTTGGGCAGACCCCGGGCAGCCTCTGCATCTCCCCCAGGTGTCTGGGAGCCGCCATCCGCAGCTGCGTCTCTGAGTCCGTGTTTAACGTCCTCCGTGTTTATGGCTGCAGCGAGAGCCGTTTGACCCGTGTCGGTGTTTTTGTTGCTCTTTGTGCGCGTGTTCAGTGACTCCTGGAGCGCCCTGACAAGCCGTGAGCTCCTGGCCGGGGCCTTGTTCTTGCCCTGATCCTGCGGGCTGTGCCAGCGGCTGCTCAGGCCTTCTGGCTCTGGAAGTTCGGGCGGGGAAGGAGGTTGGGTGAGGCGTGTGCAGTTGCTGAGTTCTCCGGTGGTCGCTGGCATCTGGGGATTGGTCACCTTTGAGTGTGTTTGTCTTGGCGTTTGGTCCCGCAGCCCAGGCGTGGTGGCCTTGCCAGACCCGAGTCTGGTCCCAGGTGTTTCCTTCTGCCTCCCCATTCTGCGCACGTCTCCCAAGTCAGACTTTCAAGCGCCGTGGCGATCATGGTGGGGTTCTTGGCCGAGTTCACCGCCTTGGTGTTCCAGGGTCGTCAGTGAGTAGAGTCCGGTTCTGGGAGGCTGGTTAGAGACAGATGATACTGTGCTTGGAATACCTGCAGTCGGACTCCGAGGCGGGTGTGGGCGCACGTGTCCTCCCTGCAAGTGCGACTGCTAAGAAGGGGTCCCCGGCCCGTGAGCTGAGCCAGCTCCTGGGACTGTCTGCACCCTCCCGCCATTGCTTTCCCGCTAACGATGTGCATGTTTTACTTTGTCTAGGACTTTCCGGAAAGACATGTCTGACAAAATGTCTAGTTTCCTGCACATCGGAGACATTTGTTCTCTGTACGCAGAGGGATCAACAAATGGATTCATTAGCACCTTGGGGTAAGAAAATGTGGCTTTTTTTTTTTTTAATGTGGCACGATTTGTTTCAGACATTGTAACAAGCTTAACAATTGTGATCCCCTCCCCCCAAGATAAAAATGCTGCCATTTTCCTCAGCATGTCCAAAGGCGGCAAAATCATAAATAGCAAATCTCGTGTTAGCCGAGTTTAGCCTCTTGCACTGGCAGAGGCTCCCCTCGGTCTGAAGGAGCCAAGCCCAGTCCTTAGGTCTCTGTTCATTCAGAGTCCCGTGCAGTTTGTTCTGTGTGGTGGGGGAGGTGCTGGGTGAGTGCGAGAGGAGGTGAGCGGAGCGTTTGCCCTGCCAGCCAAGGGCCTCTTAGCGGTCCCGGCTCCTCGCTCGCCACGGAAGCCAGGACCAGGCCTCCTGGGATGCTCGTGTCTCTCTGAAGCAGAGCCTTTCCCCTTCGGAGCTGCTGTGTGCAGTGGAAAGTGACAAACCGGGTGCGGCCCTGGACGTCGGCCCCGGCCTGCGTGTGGTGCTCGCCCCAGCCTCTGTCCACCTCTGAGGGGGAAGCTCTGTTGGATTTGTCTCCCCTCCTCGTCCCTCCTGTTGTCCAGAAGAGGAGGTGAGATGTGGGATGGCCCTCGGGGCAGGCAGGAGCCCCGTGGAGACCGGACAGCCCTCTCTAGCACGTCTCCATGCTGTGCCGGAAGGTGCACTTCGGCCCAGAGTGGCCTGGGTGCCTTGGCAGGAGCCGGTTTCTGAGACGTGGGGGGCAGGAAGGCTGCGGGCTCTCCCAGCACCCCCGTCGTCACAGCAGCCAGCTCTTCCTCTTGATGGTGGCCGTGTTGGAAGCGTAGTGGTTGGTGGCAGTTAGCCCAGCACTCCAGGGACTCAGGCTACGTCACCTGCAAGGAGTGAATTATTTCCCCTAGACGACCGTAGCTCAGTTAGACTGTACTGTCACCCTACGAATATTTTGTTTCAAGAAGTCCCCCTTGGCAGCCGGGTAAGCAGTCCCACCTCTTGTTTCCACCTCGGGCTTCTCTGCTCCATGAGCCCCTCACAGATTAGCTCTGGCTTTGCACACAGCCGCCGCCTCCTGCCTGGCCGCCCTGGCTGTCTGCCCTCGCCCTGCCCTGTCCCCGCGTCTGGCTCCTCCCCTGCCATCCCCGTGGTTGAATGCTGCCCTCTTGTATCTTTCAGCAGTGGCATCAGCAGTGATAAGTGGCAGTGGTAAGCGCCCCCTCGTGCCGTGGGTGTTCACGGTGTGCCCGGCACTGAGCTGTGTCTTTGGTCCCCTGCCCTAGTCCTCAGTTGGGGAGCACTGTTCTGGTTGCTGGACAAAGCTGGACCTGTGGGCTTCAGTGGGTGACACCACTTGCCCAGGGTGTCGTGGCTTGGGACACACAGGCCTCCGGGCCCGGGGGTCCAGACTGCCACCGTCCACAGGGCTGTCTCCCGCCCTGGCTTCCCAGAGCTACCCCTCACTGCGTGTCCACAGCTCCTGACTGGTGGCCCTGTCCAGCCTCACTCCCAGGTCTGTCGTGACCTCACGGCAGTGCCCTGCCAAGCCCCTGACACCCGGGTGCCTCTCTCCCTGCTTGCCTTTCTCCTGGGCATTCTTCAGGTGCCAGCCCTGCTTCCTGGTGTCGGCCGCGAGTGTTGGAGGCGCGTCAGTGCCGAGCCCTGCTCTCCGTGGCAGCGTGCAGGCTGCTGGGTTGAGTCTGGGCTCTGATACTTCCTTCCTGTGCCTGGTCTGTGCCCTTGATTCAGGACAGCTGGTGTCAGATGCATTTGGAAGATTGCATGTGACCTCCGCTGCTCTTTTTTTTTTTTTTTTTAAAGATTTATTTAATTGAAAGGCAGAGTTACACAGAGGCAGAGGCAGAGAGAGAGACAGAGGTCTTCTATCCGCTGGTTCACCCCCCGGATGGCTGCAGTGGCTGGAGCTGTGCCAGTCTGAAGCCAGGAGCCAGGAGCTTCTTCAGGGTTTCCCACGCAAGTGCAGGGGCCTGAGGACTTGTGCTGTCTTCTACTGCTTTCCCAGACCATAGTAGAGAACTGGATTAGAAGTGGAGCAGCCAGTGGCCGGCGCCGCGGCTCAATAGGCTAATCCTCCGCCTAGCGGCGCCGGCACACCGGGTTCTAGTCCCGGTCGGGGCGCCGGATTCTGTCCCGGTTGCCCCTCTTCCAGGCCAGCCCTCTGCTGTGGCCAGGGAGTGCAGTGGAGGATGGCCCAGGTGCTTGGGCCCTGCACCCCATGGGAGACCAGGAAAAGCACCTGGCTCCTGGCTCCTGCCATCGGATCAGCGCGGTGCGCCGGCCGCAGCGCGCCGGCTGCGGCGGCCATTGGAGGGTGAACCAACGGCAAAGGAAGACCTTTCTCTCTGTCTCTCTCACTGTCCACTCTGCCTGTCGAAAAAAAAAAAAAAAAAAAAAAAAAGAAGTGGAGCAGCCAGGACTCAAACCGGTGCCCGTAAGGGATGCTGGCACTGCAGGCAGTGGCTTTACCCACTATGCATAGCGGCAGCCCCGCTGCTGCTCTGACGTGGCTGGCTGACGCTCCAGCCCTGTCGCGTTGGTGTGGGTGGTGCTTGCCCGCGAGTGGCTTCCTCTCTTCCTTGGCCTTTAGAGCAGGCCTTGGGAGATGCTGCCTGTGCCTGCACTGTACTAGTGAGTGGTGGGGACACAGCTTTCCTGACCCGGGGGGAGCAGGTCCTGGTGCCGTTGGGAACGTCACCCTAGTTGGGAATGCTGAGCCTGGCCGGGATCATCTGCAGAGGAACAAGCCGCAGCAGGGGTGGAGACACTTGTGCTAGGAGCTCCTGCCACCTGCACTTTTGTCGCCTTCTCAGCCTGGGGGCGGGAGGTCCTTCACCCTGCAGCTTTCTCCTCGCATGAGCACTTTATAACTCATTCAAGGCCTGCTTTGGACTTTGGAGTGCGCCCTTTCAAGAATGACGCCCATGCTGCCCCCAGAGCCCCAGGGCCTCAGTGTGGGGCTTTCTCAGGTACACGTTGTGCCCTTGTGTTTGTGGTGGACTCCGCCACTGACCACGCTGTCCTTGCTCATGCTCGAGGTCCTGTGTCTTGAAGCTGAAGGAGACACCTGGTAGGGACTCTGCACGCTTGTGTTCACTCACCCCATACGTGTGGAGCGGCTGCCCTGGGCATCTCCTGGGCCACGCTTCCGGCGGCTCCCAGCCTTCACTGGAGCACGTGGCCTGGAGCACCTGGGGAGCCAGCCAGTGGGGAGAGGCAGCGAGGGCCTGGGGGTGCTTTGTGGAACAGGACGGGCTCTGAGCCAGGGCCTTGAAGGATGGGCGGGGCTTCAGGAAGGAGAAGGAGTTTGGAGGGAAGGTGGCTACACCACAGGTGAAGGCTGAGCACCTCCTGGTCCCGGTGCTTGGCCAGGGAAGGAACCCCAGGAGACCCTGGCACGTGGGCTGGGAGCACGTCCTGGGGCCGCCTGGAAAACGAGCCAGTGTCGGCGACTTCTCAGAGCCGTCCTGTCTTCATCTGTTTCGAGGAGCAGGCTTTGGCGCTGGTCGCTTTGGTGGGGCTTCCTTCTTGCCATCCCCTGCGCCTGGTGGATCTTACTTCTCTGTCCCCATGCGTGTGGTCCCCTCACCTGAGACCGCTCCCCTTCATCCTCCGACCCCTTTCGGTCTCAGGCGTGCGTGCAGCTTCTCGGGCAGCTTCGCTCACGGCTCTTCCCTGCCTGCACGGTCTTCTTCCCGCCCTCTGTGGCTCAGCCCCATCCCTGGGCTCCGAGAGGCGGAGGCCAGCTCCTGTTGCCCTCCTTCCCAGGACCCAGCACAACGCCTGGCGCAGAGTCCCTCCTCTGCCACCTTCCGTCGAGTGCTGTGGCCCCTGCGTCAGCAATAGAGCAAACTGTGCTCGAGTCCGTCATGGGTGTGGCCGGGGACAGGGAGCCCCGCTCCGTGGTAGCCTGATGTGTTCCTCACAGAACAGAACCCTGGGCTCTGGCTTGGGCTCAGCCCCAGGAGTGGGGCTCACCTCCAGCAGCTCCCTGGCTGGAGAACGTGGTAGGCTAGCGTTTGCCCAGGAAAAGCCTGGGATGTTGGGTTTTCGCATAGTGCTTGGAGATTGACTTGCCTCCGTGTGTCCTGACGGTGCATTTATCTGTGTCTTCCCTGCAGCCTGGTTGACGATCGGTGTGTGGTGCAGCCAGAAACCGGGGACCTTAACAACCCACCTAAGAAATTCAGAGGTAAGATGGTGGCCTTCCCTTGTGGCCCATGGCTCGCTGGGAAATTCACCAAGTGTGTGGCCCCATGCATGTTCTGGATTTCCGTGAATAATCCCAGGTTTATTTACTTGGCTTCTGTGTGGTTTTGACGCCCCCTGACTTCCTGAAAGCTGCATCAGGTCAGTGTTGAGATTGGGATCGCCTGTGTTAGCGTGCCTGTGGCAGGTGCTCACTCAGGGAGACGCCCGGCACTGCCCAGGGGTCTCCAAACAAAGAGGAGTCACGGAGCCAGCAGGAGGAGCGGCGGCCATCCCCGCTGTTCTCGCTGTCCGAGCCGGCAGCCGGGAGGAGGTGCTCTTGGTGCGGCAGACACGGGGCGGGCGGCCCCCCCGCAGCCACCGACTGGCTCCCGAGTCTCCTGTGCCGGTGTCTTCCGCCTCAGACAGCCGGGTTTATCACAGGAGGTGCTGGGAATGGGGTTGGTGTCCGCGATGCTGAACACTTGGCTTCTGCTTTTTGTCGCAGTGAGGTTCTCAGCTCTTGGCACAAATTAAAATCATCTGGCAAAGGTTCTGAATTTAGTAAGTGCTTAGGGCGCCACTGCGAACCCCTGAGATTCACCTGTGGAGGTTGGAGCCCGGCCTCCCGGTGTCTGCTACCAGCAAGCCGGGTTCAGGACCCGCTGGCTTAGGCGTTTGACTGCTTCATTCCCCAAGGGCTCAGAGCCGGCCGTTTGCAGATTATGTCGTTTGAGTGCCACATTCTTGTTGTTTAATGACTTAGAACCCTGTTGAATAAAAGCTTTTAAGAAATGAGAACCTAGTGGAAGGAGGCCGTTCTCAGACAGCTGACACCAGACCGTCCGGGTGACGTTTTCACCTGAGGTGGCTGGCCGTCTGCAGCGGGGGTGGTGTGGTTCCGGCGTGCGCGCAGCCTGAGGCAGCTGGCGCCTTCCTGAGTGGAGTGGAGGGGCGGGTCTAGTAAGCGTGACCCGGTCACTCGTGGAGCTGCCCCACCCTGGACGTGAAAAGGGACAGGTGCATTGGCTGTGTTCAGGAGGCTGCTCCGTGTGCTCAGGGATTCCCTCCACCTGCAGGGGAGTGACAGACCGCGTGGCCAGTGCCTTGTGTATGGTCCCATGGCGGCCACGGGCAGGGCGGCCACCGTGACCTGTGACTTCGGCTGCCCCGGGAAGTCACCTGGACAGCTTTGCAAGCCTCAGATGCCGAGCTGCACCCTCGGGAGCTCTGGGTTCCTCATCGCCGTGGGCTTCGATGGCTCCCAGGTGATTCTTCGGTGCAGCGGGGTTAAGGGCCCCTGCTCGCAGCCTGGGCCTCCAACTCTGTGACTGAGGGCTGGCTGATTCAGGCGTGGCTTTGCCATGAGGACCTCAGGAAGGGATCGGGGTTGGCCGCATCGCTTGGGTCCCTGGGAGCTCTTGCGCTTGGGCTGTGGGACCTGGGGATGAACGGGGGAGCGACTTCAGAGCGCTGCACTGCGTGAACCTGTGATGCGTACGCACCTGTGATGCACACGCATGGGGCTTCAGAAGCGTCGCGTGTTTTGCTGCAAAAATACTTGGAAATCCACATGTAGTATTTTCATAATACGGATTTTCCACAAACTTCTGGAAGATCCCTTATCTGCATGGGTTTGGTTGTTTTTTGCCATAATAAATACCAGATCATAATAAATACCATACCATAATAAATGCACCTTTACAATTTCCACAAACTTTTGAAGTGCCGCGAGTAACACGAGGTTTTGAAGTACTTATGAGCAGGATAGCCTGCTGCTTGGGTGCCCGCGTTCCCTGTTGGAGTGTGGATGTGAGTTCCACCTGCTCCACTCCCATCCGCCTCTCTGTTAACGCGCCTGGGAAGCAGCCGGTGATGGCTCAGCTACTGGGGTCCCTGCCAGGTGGGAGACCCGGTTGGAACTTCCGGCTCCTGGCTCGGGGCTGCCCAGGCTGTTGGGGCTGTTTGGGGAGTGAACGAGCGGATGAAAGATCTCTTTGTTTCTCCCTCTGTCACTCTGCCTTGTGAATAAATAAATGAATCTTCACTAAAAAATATTTACACATTTCTGGAGTGGCTACATTGAGCTAACTAATGTAATTATTACCTCACATACTTACCTCTTCATAAAGAACCTGTTCTGATGGTCACCAGGTTGTGCAGCGGCTCCCCGCTCCCCGGTTTGTTCCTCCAAGCTGAAGTCGCCCCACCTCCCCACCCCGGCCCCTGGTTACTCCTGCGAACCTCCGTCCTCTCCGCTTCTGTGAATAAGGCTTTTGTAGATGCCACGTGTGAGTGGCCGCACAGTCCCTCTGTGTCCTCCAGTCCGTCCGTGGTGGCCGTGTGAAGGCAGGGTTAGAGCGAGCAGATCAGTGGGATCCCGGCAGGGGGGCAGCAGGAAGAGATGCGAGTTCTCCTGACACTGGGCTGAAAGCGCCTTGTGCTGGGATGTGCACCTGGCGGCTGCTCTCGGGGGACGGGTTTGGGGGAACAGCGACCGACCGTCTGACAGAGGCTGTCGCTGCTCGCAGGACAGGGACTTGATTTATTGACTGCCTTTATCCGTAAGTTAAACCCAGAGCTCTCTGGGGCTGAGCTGCTTTGCAGTGGTGGGAAAATCTGGCTCAGAGAGAGCAAGCTCTGTGCTGGCTTTGTGAATGTGGGTCAGGACCTGCTCAGCTCCGCCATGGGCCAGCCCAGGGCCTCCCGCCAGGGCCGGGGTCCTCGTGCCTCTGCCTCTGTGAGGGCGGGCGGCAAGCACTTAGGCCTCCTCTAAGGCGTCCTCCGCTGTGCTGCAGCACACGGTAAAGGTTTTTTTTTGTTCTAAAAGGAAGAGAGAACGGTCTGGAAGGCCCTGCTGCCTCTCCAGGTAGAAGCGTGCTCCAGGCGAGGTCGTCGTGGTGTTCAGGCTCTGCGCAGAGGGCGGTTGGGCCCTTGCGGGGCTCTGGGGCCCTTTCCTGGTGGGGTTTGCGCCCTGGAGGTTAATAGCAGCGGAAGGAGCCTTATCCGAGGATCTTGAGCCCGTCGCACTTGCTGTGGCTTCCCTGTGTCCTTGCCAAGTTACTTCCTGTATTGAGAGCCATGCTGAGCCATTCTCGGTAAGCGGGAAGCCAAAGCCGTGTTTCTGAGGTTCTCTGTGGCTTCGCACTTGGGCTTCTCATTCCGTGAGCTCTGCTGCCCTGGAGGTTACCGGAGGGTTCCTGGTGCAGACCCAAGTTCCGCTCATTCTTAGGCGTGTGACCCCAGTGTTTTGCCTGCTCTCTGCAGACACTGGTTCTCCCATCTGTGGAACGGGAGATGATCATAGTTCTCACCTCCTGGGGCCGAGCGAAGAACCTAGTGCTTGCTGAAACCCTGGTGTTAGTTTCAGAAGAACGTTGTTTGAAAGGAGACTCACCGTTGGCAGTGGGGAGAAGCTGGGGCCAGGGAGATGAGTCGGACGCCTTCCCATGTCCTAAGTGCTTTGTGCGAGTTGGGCGGGGTGGGGGGAAGTCGGACAGCAGCAGGCTAGCCCAGCAGTCCAGTCTGAGCTAACATATTAGGGGTGCTTTTTTTTTATTTATTTTTTTATTTTTTTTATTTTTTATTTTTTGACAGGCAGAGTGGACAGTGAGAGAGAGAGACAGAGAGAAAGGTCTTCCTTTTGCCGTTGGTTCACCCTCCAATGGCCGCCGCGGCCGGCGCGCTGCGGCCGGCGCACCGCGCTGATCCGATGGCAGGAGCCAGGAGCCAGGTGCTTTTCCTGGTCTCCCATGGGGTGCAGGGCCCAAGCACCTGGGCCATCCTCCACTGCACTCCCTGGCCACAGCAGAGGGCTGGCCTGGAAGAGGGGCAACCAGGACAGAATCCGGCGCCCCGACCGGGACTAGAACTTGGGGTGCCGGTGCCACTAGGCGGAGGATTAGCCTAGTGAGCCGCGGCGCCGGCCCTGTTTTTGTTTTTAATGTTATAGGGAGGGAGGGAGAGAAGGTTCCACAGTGGCCAAGGCTGAGTTAGGCGGAAGCTGGGAGCCTGAAACTCTGACCAGGTGTCTCCCATGTAGGAACCAAGGACTACCAGAGGAGCCGTCACGTGCTGCCTCCCAGGGTGCGTGTAGGCGGGGAAAGTGGAGTCAGGGGCCTGAGCTAGGGATCTGCCTGGGGCCCGCTGATGTGGGAGGCGGGCAGCCTGACTGCTAGGCCAGAAGCCTGTCTGGAGGCCCTGCTGTCCACCTGCTGCTGGCCTCGGTGATGGAGGAACAGGATGTGCTAACTGCAGACCTCGGGTTTCCCGGAGAAGCAGACCTGTCTTCCAGATAGTGAGTGCCGGCCATGCCCAGGTGCTGACCGGGTGCAGAACGCTGCCCGTGGTGCTCCCGTCCTCCAGGCGTGTGACCCACCTGCGAGGTGTAGGCGCTCTTGTCCTGCAGGTGAGCACACGGAGGCGCTGAGACTTGGGTCGCTTGCCCACCTGGTAGGAAGATGATTGATTGCACACGCACTTGTTGGCACCCACTGTGTGCCACCCTCCATCGTCTGTGGGGGAATGGGGCGGACGCTCTTGCAGGCGTGCACAGCTAAGCCTTGGGGGGAGCCAGTTGAGAGTCAGGTGCTGTCCACTGCAGGTAGCAGAGCGCAGTGCACTGTCTTGGTGCTGGTGTGCTGGATGCGTTGGCTGGTGGCCTTTGCCACCTGCGTGTGGCAGCACCTCACACCAGGGCACATGGCTGTCATGGTTTTTCAGCACTTGTTGTGAAGTACTTTATGTTTTCCAGTAGACTCTAAGCTCCGTGAAGATAGCGGATGTGGATTAACTCCCCAAATGGCCACAATGGCCAGAACAGTGCTGATCCAAAGCCAGGAGCCAGGAGCTTTCTCCAGGTCTCCCACACGGGTGCAGGAGCCCACGCACTTGGGCCATCTTCACTGCTTTCCCAGGCCACAGCAGAGAGCTGGATCAGAAGTGGAGCAGCTTGCACTCGAGCTGGTGCCCACATGGGATGCCGGCACTGCAGGCAGTGGTTTT